CACAGAGGCCCACTTATGAGGTCTTAAAAATTGCGATGGACCTTTTCAGGTCCTGTCCAGGACAGACAAACACTTTGTTATTCAAAAAGATGGAAAACCCATTCGAGTGTCCATCGAAAGACTGAAACCAGCCTATGGGAAACAACAACCCTACCTACCTCTACCAACAACCACTAAGGCTTCCAAGCCTTCGTTGAAACTAGACTTAACTGACCCAGAAGAATTCCCTTCGCTGAAGAACAACACTCCCCCAACGATTACAACGCGGGCTGGTAGACACCAGCCAAATACGGAACACTTTAGTATAGTTTTTATTCTAGTATAATTTAGTTGGGTTTTTTTAATGTCCATCAGCATAGTGACGTTCTGGGGGGAGCTGTATGGCATCTATCCTTGTTATCGTAATGTCTCATCTCCCATGCTGTTCGGTAAACTTGCTTAGTGTACTGATCAGACATTTAGTATCTGTGTATTTGAAACTATCAACTTCCTTGATGTGCGCACGCGCAATAAAGTAGTCTTCACAACAACAACAAAGTCTCGAGACCCGAACTTGTTTTCTATGTCAGTGTCGAGTGAGTAGAGCTTTAATATGTTGCTGATACTAGATCTGGAAAGTAGATGCTAGTTCTTGTATTCCTACACCAACAAACTGCTTAGCCAAACCGAGGATGGGAAAAATGAAATGACTAAGTCAAATAAATACAGGGAAATAGTGGGTAGTCTCATTTATATCATGACAGCCACTAGACCTGACCTATGTTTTATTGTTACCAAATTGTCTCGACACTTGTCAATGCCAAATAGGGGCTCTCGTGGCCTAGAGGTTAAGGTGTTGGCCTCTCATTCAAAGGTCCCGGGTTCGATTCCGGGTAAAAATTTTCTTCTCTAAAATTGTCTCCTTTCACATCCTTTCCTGATCTCTAACAATGTTGTGTTGTCTGCTTTCATTTCCACTTTCTGCCCCCACCCCCTCACCTCCTTTGCCCCCTCCTCTGGGCTCCTGACTCTTTCTGCAGCCTTTCTACTGCTACTCCTTGGCTCCTCCTAACTGCTGTCTTTCTGCCACACCCCTGATCTTCTGGCAGGAAAGATCTACACCTAGCCATCTCGGACAAGGGCGAAAAATCTCGGAGGGCCCGTGTGCAAGTTGCGCACGTTAAAGATCCCTTGGTGGTCTAAAATCGATAAGAGTGGGCTTCGGCCGCCATCCGGGCAAAATTCAAAATTTCCTACCAACGAAAAAATATTAGGTGTGTCCCGCGCGCTCATATGACCGTATGCAGTTGCGATCGCCGTAAAACCCTATACTAAACAAACAAATGCCAAATAAAACACCCATGATTCTTGCTAAACATGTACTGAGATACTTAAAGGCCACAACTGATCAAGAATTGACATTCAGGAAATCAGTGGACAAATTGACCTTATCTGGTTTTTGTGACTCAGATTGGGGAATTTCTAGAGACAGAAAAAGCATTACAGGCTACTGTTTCACACTTTCAAATGAAGGTCCGCTTATCTCTTGGAAGTCAAAGAAACAGCAAAGTGTTGCACTATCTTCTTATGAAGCCGAACACATGGCAATGTCTTCTGCTACGCAAGAAGGAAAGTTCTTATTGCTTTGATCAATGACACGAATCTAGATCTGAGTAATTTCACACTGAATTGTGATAATCAAGGAGCTATCGCTCTGTCCAAAAATCCAGTTCAGCACCAGAGGTCTATACACATAGACATACGATACCACTTTATCCGAGATGAAATCTCAAAAGGTCTAATGAAAGTGCAGTATGTACCCTCTGAAGACAATCTTGCAGATGTTTTCACAAAGCCTGTACCTCGGGTCAAGGTGCAGAAATTCAAAGCCCTGCTCATGGGTGACTGAATATTGACATCCAATAATCAGAGACCCATGACACAATGAATTATATAAATATGAAGTGAAATGTCTTATTAAAGATAGATCTATGATTGATATCTAGGTGTACCATTGCTATCTATCATCATTGTCATTATATTTGGGATTGTTATCTAACATTGCTCAACAACTGCAAAGAGTTGGGCAAAGCATACACTGCGGCTGAGTTAGGAAGGAGATCACGCATTTTCTTAGACATAACCCTTTTGTTGAAGCACATGATGGCATCCTGGACTTGTACATGTACTCGCGACCGGTGAACGAGTCATGGGAGCAATATTTAGACAGACTCGAAAATGAAAGAGAGTGGGGTGATGAAACAATCCTTCTTGCCGTTCCGTTTGTGTTCAACTTCACTTCAACGTTGCTGTTACTGTTTTGTCCGACAGTATTGATACCGTGGTTTACATACCCATCCCAGATCACGCCCCTGGCAAAGAGAGCCCAACACTGATCAGTGAGCTCCATTATGTTGAATTTATACTAGAGGTGGAGTTCGTTAACAACACTTTGGAGCCATGCGCGCTAGAGGTACCAGATGTATTGTGTGAAACATGTGGCATCATTGGCGGACATGAATGCTTGGAAGAGTCAATGGGCAAGCCGCACCCACCTCATCTTCTTGACAATGTTACGTGCAGACTTTGTGGAGTAAAAGGGGTCCACATGTGTTTGGAAGAAAATATTGACTCTGGTCATGTAAACGATTCAGATAACCCTCCAAACTTTGGAGGAAGCATAGATAGGTCAAATGTTGATGCAGGTCATGCTAACGGTTCAGACAACCTTCAAGGGTCTGGAGGAAGCAAGGAGAAGCCAGGGATGGATGTTCCAGTGCAAATACAGGCTGTGAAGAGTGTGGACAAGAATTTTACTCAGAGAATGGGGTTCATCAAGGTCCTGATGGGACCATTTTGTACTACACTGGCGCTGACATTTGTATAAATTGCGTCTTAATGAAAATGTCGAAAATTAATTTTTTAATGACAGTTGGGGACGTTACTTTCTAGTTTCTAGTCTATGTGTTTTTTTTCTGAAATACTATAAAGGTCTCAACAAGACAGACATAATAGCAGCAGATTTGGTCATATTTAGTTATATTCACCGTTTTCTTTATTTCTGTTTACACTTCTGTAGAGAATGCTGTAAAGTGTTTTAATAATTGCAAAAACTGTGGGGGGGG